CACCCACCCCCACCCCCTACAGTCACTGCAGATAGCACACTGGCACAGGTGGCTTGTCCTGGCACATCTCCACTGCCTTTGCACAATCACTACAATCTTGCATGACGGATAGTAGGTGCATGAATGAAGTTACGTTATAAATTTTCAAAGTTCCATAGATTGCTTCAGACCCCACTATTACCTGCTGTCACAGTCATCTAGACTTAAGAAGAGCCACTTATAGTGGTGTTTCTCAAAGGAAGTGTGTGTGATGCCTCTAGATGGAGGGGGTATAGGAGAAGCAAATACTTAGCTTTCATCAGTGGCCCCAGGCAGGTATGAAAGGTACCACAGGGGTTGGGTAGGCAGTTCTCAACAGGCCAGGTCCACCCAGGTGATGTGTTAGGCATCAGAGGCGGGCTATAACATCTGTAGCTTTAGCAATTACTAACTGGTACATGTAGCATTTAATTCTGTAGGTGAGAGATGACATAGTATAATGTGTGGCTGGGTCCCATATAGTTCGCTGTTACTCCCAACTCTTTCTTTAATGTGTTACCACACATTCATGTGGGTCAGAGCCCTCTTAATAAATATCCAAGCTCAGAACCTAAGCCTATTTCACATAAAACACAAAGTCAACCCTGCTCTAGTATCCCACCCTTGGCTTACCAAAGTATATAAAAGAAAACTAGGTCGCCCGTGAGCACACACTGCTTACATAGCTTACTAGCAAAAGCAGGAAGCAGTTTATCACTATAAATAAAAGGAAGTTTTCAGGTGTTAACGAAAGGCCAATGATTAGAGTTAGGAACTATATATTCTAAAAGTTTACTCACAGAAATAGAAAGTAAAATTTTAAAGGAAGTGAGGGTAAGTAACCCAGAGAACCATTGTCACGGTTGCCTCTGTGACCCCGTAACCAGAGAAGGACTGTCTTAGAGTTTCACTACCTAAAGAGAGATAAAGGCCATGCCCAGGCCTGGGAAAGGGATTCCTGTGATGTGTGACATCTTGAGGGTTTAGCAGCTGCTACAACCATTAGCAACAACAGAACCACCATGTCTTCTTTATAAAAAGACTGTGCACTGGATCCAATGTGTGAATGATGGCATTTCATCATGCAAATCACTCACTGAGCATGATGGGAGCAGGGCTCCGATGACACAGCTAAAATCACTTGGCTACTTTTGGTGGCTTTGTTTTTTCTATCTCTAGGGTGGACACATGCATGGCTACTGACCAATGGCCATTCTGTGACTGTCCTGAAAATAGCTAAATGACTACAGGTTGCCAGGCAGCTGCATTCTGATGTCATTCCCCTAAATGCCATCTCCTTCTTCTAGCACTTTCCAGCTAACCATGGCATGTACGCAGCAATAAAGTGTTTCAAAAGACCTAGGATCCTATTTAGAACTTGTCTCTTCATGAAAAAAACAGTCTTGAACAAAGCTACTCACACCAGAAGCACTTTTTCACATTTGAAAGGGAACATGGACTCAAACACATCATTCATGTTGGTCAAACTTAAACACTACCCTTTAAAATGATCATCTGTAAACATAAAAACACTCTGAAAGAAAGTCAACATGAATGTAATTTTTATTGTAATAATGCTGGAGAAGTAAACCCTGATGTCAGGTTAGTGTACAAAAACAAGACAAACTCAGAAATGAGAAAGGATGAGAGCAGTCAGCCTTCGCTTCGCCCTGCTTGTTGCTTCGCGGTAGTCATGTTTAGAAGCACTAGATGGATAGTGAAAGCTGTGTTCTGGCAGCAGAGAAACTGACGGTATTCAGCATCTGGGGATTGCAATCCTGTTTTAAAATTGATATTATAATTGTGTGGAATCCTTCGAATACCCAGCTGGGTGACTGTGGCAGGGTTAGATACCCAATTAGGTTACTAAAATCTCAAGTTACTTGGCCATATTTGTCAGCTTAACACTGCCAGTTCCTCTGCCTGCTGACCATCCTGCTGCCTTTGCAGCTCCCATTTCCTTGTTTAGGATTCGATGAGACCTACCTTTAGACATTTATTCTCTTCCAAGTGTTTACATGAGAAGCACACTAGAACTCACTAAATTCTATGTCTGTCAGTAATGCAAAATATGACTAGCTACTTGGCAATCATTAATTAAACCCAATGTTTTCAAATTAGTTTGAATTCTGCTGTTAGGATTATTCTGTGTATTGTTTTGTTTTGTTTTTTGCTTTGTTTTTCTTTTTGAGACAGGGTCTCATATGTAGTCCTGGCTGGCCTGGAACTCACTATGGAGAACAGTCTGGCCTCAAATCAGATTTGCCTGCCTCAGATTTATGAGTGCTGGGATTGAAGGTGTCTACCACCATGCCCGGTTGATTCTGTGCAATTTTTAAATGAACTGCTAAGAAGAAATCTTTCTAATGAGATAGATACATTTGCCTACTTACTGGTTTTATATTACTGAATTCTTCATGACCAGTGCTTTTTCCTATTATCATTATTATTATTATTATTATTATTATTATTATTATTTGTTGTTGTTGTTGTTGTTGTTTTTCAAGATAGGGTTTCTCTTTGTAGCTTTGGCTGTCCTAGAACTCACTCTGTAAACCATGATAGCCTCGAACTCAGAGATGTATCTGCCTCTGCCTCTGCCTCTGCCTCCTACTGCTGGGATTAAAGGTGTCCGCCACCACTACCCGGCTCCAATTAGTATTATTTAAAATGCTACCCTTTTGAATTAAGGTTCTAAAATGTCAGTGGCACAGCTTACGTCATGTACCAGAATTTGTATATTACCCATTGATCATCATCTGGTGGGAAGCATTACTGATCAAATACTGGATTGCATTATAAGCATGGCAGGCCCAATTTCTGGAATTGTTGGTAGAATCTAAAATGGGAAAAAGGAGACAAACAGCCTTGGTTTACACCCTTTGGGGAAACCTTTTCCTAGCTGTAGCATTTAACATATTCCCTCCCTGTACCTTCTGCTGCTCTTCACCTTCCTGCTAACCAAGGGCTCTCCCTGTGAGCTCTGTCTGCCCTCTGCCTCTCGAAGTGATGGTTATTACACAAAGGTACTTTAGGTTTTCTTAGAGGTAAACTGTTTTCAGTATTCAATGAAGAAAAAAAGAAACTAGGAGAATGGAATTCAGGTGGGAAGGTTCTTGTTTGGTTTGGTGTTTTGGGGTGTTGTGGGTTTTTTTTGCTTGTTTTTTAATTTTCATATATGACTGCATATATGTTATATGCACATACAAGCTTACATGTGTGTGTGGAACTGGTGACGGGACCAAGTCTGACATTGGCAATCTCTCTCAGCCATTCTCCAGCTTATTTACTGAGGCAGGATTTTGCAGTTGAAGCCAGGACTAACAGATTCAGCTTGACTAGCTAGCCAGCATGCTCTATGGGTCCCCTTTGTTAGTCTTCTGAGGATGCTGAAATTATAAGCTACCCCACCCAACCAGCATTTACATGGATCCTGGGGACCCAAATGCTGGTCCTCACACATTACAGCCAGCACTTTACTGTTTAGCCATCTCCACAGCCCTCACATGTGTATTCTTAAAAAGCAAGTATCTTCTTTAAATAATTTGTGCAGTGATTTGGATGAAAAATTGTTCTGGCCTATTTTCTGAGCCATCTTTTTCTGATCTATGGATGAAATAAATTGTCATTACTCTTCAGAATTCAAATCAAGAGGGACCTTCAATTCTTATAGCTTTTTTTTTTTAAAGAATGAAAAAGGCATTTATTGTCAATCTGAAATATGTATAAGAGGGTGTGTGTGTGTTTAGATAGTATCTCACTATGCATCCCTGACTGGCCTCGAACTCATAGAGATCCTCCTGCCTCTGCCTCCCAAGTGCTGGGATTAAAGACGTGGGATACCATGGTTAGCTGAATAGAGATATTCATGAAATATAAAATCTTAGCATTATTTTCAGCTCTAAATTGTACAGCATTTGGTATTTCTGAGTCAAACATGATACACACCTGAAATTCCAATACTTTGGGGTCAGAGGCAGGAGGATTATCCACAAGTTTGAGGAGTTCTGGAACAGTCAGGGCTACCTACTGAGACCCTGTTTCAAAAAGCAAAAACAAACAAAAGATATCCCCTTGCTGGGGTAAGCTGGTGTGGACAGCGTGGTTTTGCTGGTAACAGTCTGGCCTTTGTGATGGCAGAATGGAACATTCGGGAGTGGCATATGGTTTTCAGAAAATCTTCCTTGGTGATAAGTACAGAGTTTTACTTTGGCCCACTGTATGTGAATGAGTGAGGAGCTGGAAGAACTCTTTATCCCATCCCCTAAGAGCAAAGCTGGTACTTGTGTAAGCCCTAGCTGTGCGAAACTGATTTAGTCAGGGATTCTATCTTTCCCTCCCAGAAAGTCCAGGACTGGGGGGGGGGGGGGGGGGGGAGAGAAGAAAACCTGAGAGACTCTATGCATATGTATAAATCTGATAATTTATCTTGACCCATATGGGCAGGCAGCCTTGAGCACTGTACCTTTAGCTCCTGTTCTTTCTTCTAGAAGATCCTTTCCTGGCTCTCATAAAGGATCCGCTAGAAATTCAAGGTAGTGAGAGGATAAGATCGCCAACATTGGTTTCTTTCTGGATTGTCTTGTGTGGTTGATAGGATCCGTACTTTGTCAGGGTAAGACAGCAAATGTTGCATGGCTAACAGTGGCTAGAGCAAGTAGAATCTTTTGGGTGTTCTTTTGTGATTCTCCCTGCCCTGTAGTACATATAATTCTTTCTCAGACTTCATAAGAACTCCTCAGCAGTTGAGTGTAAAGTCAGAATGGTGGCTCATAAGCAGGTCACCCTCGCCCAAAGAAAACACTCCCAGGTCACAACATACAACCCTGTTAAAGCAACAGCTGTGGACAGACTGGAGCGCCTGGACATGACTGTTCATATAAATTTGGCTCAATACCCCCCACTTCATCACTTAGTATCTTATAGGGAAAAAACAGTCCTGATGCAATTACTAACATCTCTCTTTTTTTTTTTCTCTTTAGATCAAAAAATATTTTGAACTTGAACCACTTGCACGTGGAAAACGCTGGATTCTGCAGCCCTGTTCGCTAGATGACATGAACGCACTGAAAGACAGCTTCTCCCAGCTCATAAACTTGTTAGAAGAAAAAGACCTGGAGGCAGTGAGAATGTGAAATTTGACACAAAAGTTCCCCCAAAGCCTTGAACCCATCATGTTAGTTTCCCATTCTAATTTCATGTTGGTGTCAAGGTTGTCATGGCTTCAGTATGTTTTCCTCTCGCTGTTTCAGACTTTCATCTCTCTGTTAAAATGACTGTTCTGTAAGTCAGGTGAATTATCATCGGCATTAATGTCAAGTACACACTACTGAGGGAGAATTCATTCTCTGTTTACCACTAATTATGTTCACCGCATGTTTCTTCCTTTGTGGGTCTAAGACTCTTCCATACTTTGTGCTAAAATGGATGGAACTCACAGCTCATGGAAATGAAGCCCCTTCTGAAGAGCTCAGAGAGACTCACGGGCATCTTCACTAACTGTCCCCGGGCTTGAGCTTAGAGGATTGTAACTGAGACTCCACATGGTGTGTGTGCTATTTCCATTTCCATGATCTCCTAGGGGGTTGAGTTTTTTACATTTTATTTTATCTTGTCTGTTTTTCATATTTGTGTGTGTGTGTGTGTGTGTGTGTGTGTGTGTGTGTGTAATTGACCATCCAAAACTTCACCTGATCATCTTTTCATAAAACTGGCTGGGAAGAGCCTTGAAAGCAGCTGTGTAATGCTGGCTGGATTCTGCCTGCAGCCCTAGGAGGAAGGCATCCTAGCTGAGAGAGTTGGAGCACATTTAGGCAAGTATAGGCACCGCTGAGTCCCATTTGATCAAGTCCTCAAATATTTCTCAATGGAGTCATTAGTCTGCAAAAAGCCAACCTGCAACATAAGCATTTTTCTAAAAAAAAAAAAAAAAAAAAATCAGAAATGTGTGAGTGAAATCAAGAAGATGACTTTTCAAATAATAAACCTAACAGCCAAAGTCTAACTCATGTTTAGGATTTAAACTGGTTTGGATATGATAAAGCTCAAAGACGAACCCTGTTTGTTACACTTTAATCAAGTGCTGATGTGGCTTTGGGGAGTCTGCTCGGGGCCTCCATTTAGTAGCTAGAGGCCTATCAGTATTTCTATTGTAAACCTCTATTTTCAGGGGTGTCAGTGTGCCCTTAGAGTATGCTGGGCTACAGCAAATAAATGAGGGCCTAGACTCAGTCTTTGGAAATAATTTTTTCAACTTAATTTAAGTGATAAAATTGCATAGAGCAATGTACAGTTTTAGTAAGATTTAACACCTTTGACCTTTTCTAAATCAGGAATAATCTATGAATATTGAGGTTCATGGATGAAATATTCATTGGCACATCTTGTAAACTTTTGGCCACATATGCTCAGATGTAGCACTGGTGATTTCATCGTAAAAGGATTTTAACAAAGCAATCCCACTCTTCTTTACAGATATAGTGGGAAATTACCAATATGGCGTCAGGTAGAAATATAAGGGTATTTAATAGGGAAATTCTTTTGGAGGGGGCAGGCTTTGCTTTCCCTGCAAGTTCATTAAATGTAGAATATTGTCTTTTTGAAGATACTGTGGCTGAGTGCTCCTTGCCATCTGTTAAATGACTTCCCGTTGTCTGTGTGTGTTCATGTGCGCCAGCAATGGGCTTTCTCCACAGCCCGGAGACTGTCTCAGCGTCGCAGCCGTCACAATGAAAACATTATCAATCAGTACCCAACAACAGCTGTTTTTGACAAGTTTCTGTCTGACGCCTGATGCTTTACAACTGTCAATAAGGCTCTTTCTTTGTCTAGCAGGTCGGCGTGCGCTGTCTTACTGCTCCTCTTGGCATCCTGTCCCTGTAACCCTAGAATTTGCTGTGTTTGGGAAATCCATGTGGGGGAGGGGAGAGGGGCTGGGAGGGGCTGTGTGTCTTGTTCTTACTTTTGTGTAAGGTGCCACAGGTGTCTTAGTTCGCATATTCAAACATATAGGAAAACAGTCTGTTATGTATTTCTTCAGTTAGCATCTTGTTATATTTATGGAAGTGACCCATTTTTGTACCTTCTTAGCTGAAGCAGTTGCCTTTTTTTATACTGGCAATTAATTTATATAAGACTTTGTATCTACCGTAGTTTACAGTATTGGTTGCTGGGTAACTGCCATATTACCCTGTCTTTCTATTGAGATATAATCTATACTTAAAAGTTGACAGGTTCATGTGGACATTTGCTAGGCAAGAAGAACTTTGCCTGGTCTGTGATTTATATGATTTCCACTATCTTGCAATGAAAATAAATGCTTAGTAGAACTGGTGTTTCCAGCCTGACTCTTTTCAGCCTTAGCATTTGAGAGCCCCAGACTTCTGTTTACTTTGTGTTGCCCGTTTGAGTCTTCAAAATAAGTTCTGCTGCTCTTGAGTCAAAACAAATAATTAATACATGATTCTTTTGAAGCCATTGTGAGAACAAGAAAAAGAAGCCAGGGGTCTTTTCCAGTTGGTTCTACTTGAACATCAGTTTACTTTCCTAGGAGCCATTCCTTCAAGGGAGCCAAGGGGCTGGAGATGTGGTGTGTCATTCTCCAGTCAAAGGATCGTCCCCTATCATCTGTCCTGAAAGCCACTTTCTGCAAGTTGAGTGCAATGAACTATTTCTTCTAATGGCTTTTGATGCCCTTGGAGAATAGGTGGATAGTCTTAACGAATCTAGGAAGCTATGCTGTACATTTATATGTCCATCCTTAAGAATGAGAATGGGAAAGAAATTTGAAAACAGGTAGACAAAACATGAGTGGGACAAAGTGTGTGGGTAGCATTATATGATAAAAGAGGAAACTCAAACTCCTGCTCTTCTAAGCATAATAGTATCCTGACACATACCACGTAAGCCCAGAGAATTCAAAACAGTTTCTTCTGAGTTTGACACCTACCTCATCATCTCAGACCTACCTAGGCAAGTTCAGACAGAATGCAAGATTTTGAAGTAAATGGGTGATTTTTTTATGTCCAGATTGCAGGAGTGAGTATAGGCTCACTTCAGTGTCTGGAAGGGAGGATAAGTCTTTGTTATGCAGAAAGTTTGTAATACTGGTCCCCAGCCTTCCCTTGCTCTGCAGCCTGGGTGTGGAAGATCTGAGGTTCAGGCTGTGAAGTGTATTACCTACCACATCTTGTAGGGGAATTCCTGGCTCCTAAGGGTGCAGGACTTTTGGTCAGCACTGAGTCAATGTGATTAAATGATTTGCATCTCTGGGCTAAATGTTTCCAACTCAGATGCCTGAAGTGACAGATGAGCCCAGGTTTTGTCACTGCCCTTCCCTGCACTACTTCAGAAGTATGCAAAGCGTCCCAGTAGGACTCAGCCTCAGATGGCAGATTCATTTCCCCTCCCTTTCTTACTTTCTTTGAATTAAAAACCTTACATGAAAAGCTGCCCGCCCCCGCACCCCCTGCTGTTTCATCATACTTGGGGATTGTAACTTCCCACCATGGTTCTTTGTGACAACCTCTTCCTAATGTGACTTTCTGTGAAACCAAGGTAGAGTTTCAAAGTCACAGAGAGGAGTCTCTCCAGCATATGTCATGTCTAGCATCCGTGCTTTCCTACAAAATAAGACTTCAACCCCATTTCCTCCATAAGGACGTCATCCGCTCCATCTCTGCTCTATGAGTGCTGATCTAGTTTCAAAAGGCCACCTACAGTGTTCTCAGACTTCCCTCTTTTCCTTTCCTAGGCATTGCCATGGGCCACGGTGAATAATCACTTTACAAGACACTACTGTAGGTCTTGTGGTTTTCAAAGTGAATTTGCTTGCCCCATATACTCTGTTAGCTTGGCATATATACTTTGTGAGGTCACAGATACCTGTGAAAAAAAGAAAGGACCTTTTAGACCGAATGCCTTGTTGGTCTCAGCCAGGTTTCTATCCCAGTCTGGCTTCTGACCCCTCTCTCATTTCCTGATACTCTAGACCATCATGGCCACAACCATTGAATGGTACCTTTGAAAAAAATTATCTGATGTAGACTATCAAAGAATGGAGAATTTCCTTGTTCCTTTTTCAAAAATCTCTTACTCTGTCTGAATCTTTCAGAATACACAAATATTTCAGTGTGGTTCTTTGGACAACAGCATTCCAGTCATGGAGATGAGTGGGCTATGTGTTCCCCAGAGGGAAAAAAAAAAGGTCTCTGGGGACAGAACAAAATAAGCCTTGAATAGCCATCAGGTTCTCAGTTCCCCGCTACACACACACTTATTTCCCTGCTTCCTTGTGGACACTGGGAGTTGTTTGAAAAAGCCTAAGATCACTTACAGCCAGCCCTCCGAAGGTGTGAAATCTAGCTTCACATGCTGCAGCCCCTCTGACAAGTGATTCATTGAGACCCAAGCTGGAGCTCCAGCATCAAACAGATGTCAGACGAAACACCAAATGCCTATAAATGATTGCTTTGCAAGCAGTGGAATGACTGCAAGACCTGGCCTAATGATGCTCCCCATGTCTGGACAAGTTTACAGAAGACATGGGGGTGGGGGAACGGGTTTTAAACAGTCTAGGAAGAAGGCTGTTTCTGGGGTGAGAAATGAAGCCTTGGTTCTCACCTGAGAGGCTCCTGTTGGATTGAGTGGTGTCTGGTTGGTTCATGGGCAGTGTATAAGGGTCCATCTGAAAAGTGCATGAAAGGGGCACTCCATGGGCCAGATCGGTGTGACACATTAAATCATTAGATATAAATATCTGAGTAAATTAAAAATCGAAATTCTGTTGGAACGGAAACTGCTCACCAAAAGGCAGAGACAGGAATGCAAACAGTAAGTCTGGCTGTCATTCTCTGCACTCTGGAGCAAGTCAAGCTTGGCTCTGGTCGTTCTCCAGTTGTTTTACAGCTTTCGAGACATGGAACACTCAGCAAGCAGCTTCAACGGGATTTCTGAAATGACAGCTTGTCCAGGCTTAGCTTACTATTCTCCTTTTTAGGACTTTTATTTCCTGATTAGGACTTTGGACTTTAATAATTTTAGGGCATTTGCTCACTCCTTCACACTTACTATGTGTTGGGCATTGCATCAGATACCAGGAATACAACAATAAATGGCCAGTTTAGTTTTCACTTTTGTAGAATTAGAATTCCTGTAACATTGAGTAAATCAGATTATTTCAGTGAGTCTAGGCATTGAAATATTTGTTCTTGTTCTTAATCCCTGACTTTCAGTCCTCCTAATTTAGGATTTTTTTAATACCATTTAGTATCTTGTGAGACTACTAATAAAAGTAGAAACTTAAACACATACATACATACATACATACATACATACATACATACATACACACACATACATATAGCTATGTCTTGCCAGGGATGATGGAACATGCATTTAATCCTAGCATTTGGGAAGCAGAGGCAGGCAGATCTCAGTGAGTTCAAGGCCAGCCTGGTCTACAAAGTGAGCTTCTTGCCAGCCAGGGCTACACAGAGAAACCCTGCCTCAAAAAAACCAAAAATGGGGGGGCAGGGGTCTTCTCTTTTAGAATCTTTCTAAACAAAAACCTACAAAGCTTGCAGTGTCTCTTCTGCTGGTTGACTGCTACAAGCGTGTACTTAATACTGCAAAGTACTCCTAAGGTCCCAACCAAACTGTCAGCAGGGAACTGACAGTTTAGTTGTGTGTGTGTGTGTGTGTGTGTGTGTGTGTGTGTGTATTCATGTATATACATACATACAACTGGGGTGGCCCGATGTGATTGATCAGCCTGACTATCCAGACTGGATTACAAAAAAAAAAGAACAGAAATAGAAACATCTCTATTTCCATTCACTTTCTTGTATTACAAATCTTTCAACATTTTAAGTAAACAAAAGGAACAGTATGAAAACATTAATATTAAAGTGTGTGGATTTGTTGGATTTTTGGCCCCTGGTAAGATGA